TATTTTCAGTTTCAAGGATAAGAAAAGCCTCTATTTAACTGTATCTTTTCTTAGTGGTGAGTGTATCTGTAAATCTTCTGCTAATGAATTAATAATGACCTTTGTGTTTTCATATATCGTACCAATAGATGTATCAGGTGTGATTGTCTTACGGTTACACGACTTTCTGTAAATATGCAAACCTACAGAGATCTTTTGTACACTACCTACTTTACTGAGCTTGGCTTTTTTCCTTTTTTTTTTTTTCCTCTTCAGTGTGATTACTGGAAGTCTAGCTGACCATTCATTTCAAATGTTTCATCTCTAGCATGTCCTGGAGCACAAACATTTCTTCTTGCAAGTCTTAATGGAATTGAATCTGTTAAATGTAATTTTTCATCATCTTGCTGATCCAACTGGGAAGTCTGTAGGTTTGCTATATGTATTGAGTCTACTTTTCCCTGAACTGATACTCTGTGTTGTTGGTTGCTCCCTCAAAATAAGCTGTGTGTTTTTCTTAGGAAGCGGTTCATACATTTATTTGCTTAATAATTTAATAATAATAATTTGCTTAATAATTCTTTCTGTTTCCATTCCTGTGTTTCAGTTTTCCAGTTTGATACAGAGTTCTATATCAGTGGGCTTGCACCTCTCTGTGACCAACTTGTTATACTTTCATACGTAAAGGAGATTTCTGAAAAGACGGTAATTATTTTTCTGTTACAATTTCACCACACCACTGAACTCTCCTGGGAGTTAGAACTTACTTAAACTAGTCAGGCAGATCTGATTACCTGTGAAAGAGTTGCAACCAGCTTGTAGTGAGCAGAGCTGAGACTTCTCTGACCTAGCAAATAAGGCCAGCAAGGATAATGCTGAAAACTAATGGATTTACCTTTTAAAAGCTCTGTCCTTTGTTTCCTGCAGGAAGCAGAGAAGGTCTCTAGGTAGTCTTTCTCTTATTTCTTCCTTTTACCCCTACCTCTTACTGTTTCTCTCCCATTTCTCTCATTATTTTGGCTATTTCTGCACCAGAAGAAATGAAGGATCTCTCTAGCTAGAGGAACACTGTACTGAACGTACATCTTAGAAGAAAAGAGATTCGTGAAGCTGATCGGTCACTGTAGCAGGGGTGAGATGCATTATTGCAAGTGCATGGCATTGCCATTCCCCAGACCTTGGTTGTGTGCACCAAGGTATGATAGCTAGCTAGATAGATAGCTAGAAATCAGAATTCATGTCAGCCGCTTTTACTGCAAGCAGGCGCGTATGGTGTCTGTCTCCAGCATTTATTTCATACTGCCAAATAAAAGGCGAGGTAATGGAGGAAATCCTTGAAGTTGCAGTGTGCGAGTGACAGATGCTCTTGATCATCTCTTTGATAGTAGGCCTGCATTAGCCAAGCATCATCTAGAAACCTTAAGCAACTGGGTGCACAAGTTGCTAGGCAATGCAACACTGTAGGTTCAAATGAATGCTTGAGCTGGCTGAAATCCATAGGGTTAGCTTCCAGCTCTGCTGCAGGATGTCAGATTATTATTTCTTTATTTATATGGAGGAGAAAAATAATGTCACAGCATTGGTTCCCAAGAGAGCCGGTGTGGTAGTCCTCCAGTGTGTGAGAGTAGGTGAAAGAAAAGACGGCAAGCAAATTGAATGGGAAGGGGGAGGAAAAGGGGAATTGGAATTCAACGGAGCAAGGAAATTAGGAAGCCATCGTTAATGAAGAAGGAGGCTGTGGATGCAGGTAGAAACCAAGATGAAACTCATTCTGGCTGCTACAGGGAAGAAAAATGAAAAAAAATTCAGGTAGTCCAATTGTAATAAAACACAAGAAAGAGATTTCACTTGAATTTGTTTTTAATTACCCTTCTGTGTAAACAGACAATAAAATCTCTGCAAGCTGGAGGTTCATAGCTTCCCAGTTTTCTGGTGCCTGGGTTCTTTGGGAAGGAAAGGACTCCTGTCCTTGTGCTGTGGCTGTGCTCTGGCCTGGTCGGAGCCCTCCGCCAGCATCTCAGAGCCCCTCTGCCTGAGCTCACAGCTCACCGCAGATGCTGTTGGGTGGTGAAGAACACTGTCCTTCCTACGCTTCATCTCACAGCTTTCAGATGACAACGTCTTCCTTGTTACAAATTGCATTGGAATTGAACTCGTGGCTATGCTTCATTTTTCACTTCTGCTGGAACAGTTGGATCAGGAAAAGACTTCGGTGGTTCTGCTACTGACTAGGTTGGCTGGAGATGTGAAAATCCACTTCTTACATCACAGTATCCTTTCATGCTGTATTTTGTTAAAATCGACAGTCTGAAATATAAAATAATGCTTTGTTTTGAGCTTTGTCTTAATTATAATAAGCTAGTTGAGCCAGTGTTTTCTCCATGATGTCATCTTACAATAAACATCTGCATTTCACTGCTTAAGTTGACCTTTCTGAAGAGCATCAGCACAGTAAAGATTTTAGATTACTCTTAGTTTAATTTTACTTCTAATGCTGCTGGATGCTTAGAAGCGCAAACCTAAACACCAGCTTTAAAGAAGTTGATCTTGGTACCAGGATAACACTGATTTGTAGAACTTTGTCCGCTGGGGCCTGAGTCCAGCTGAGAACATCTGAAACTGTTGCATTACTTTTTGTATGCAGTGGTTGATCATCATCTGTTCTAGCTCTGAAAACTTCTGTGACCAAGAGCAGAAAAATAATGCCCAAACTCCCAAGGAGTTGAAGCCTGTGTCATCTCTGCATCTCCTTCCCTGTGTGGTTCATAGCTGAATACCCATTGCAAAGTGAATTCTGGTGCTGTATCTGGTGGTATAGTTGTTGGGTATCAACTGTACCTGCAGGTGACCATCAGTTGATATTGCTGAGGAAGCTGTGCAGGATGCAGCTAAGATGTCTGCATTTTTCTAGGAGGTGGAGTGTTGCGCCAGGCCCAGACTGGACCTCGTCCAACCTCTGCCGGAGTCTTGCGAGGAGATCTCTTCTGATGCACTGACAGTACGAGGATTTCAGGAGAATGAATGTAGAGATTACCATCTAGGTAGGTGTTCTTAGTATTGTTTTGTTTTGTTTTCTTAAGTGGATTAAAAATTATTTAATTTGGAAGTGCTCAGAGCCTTCTTAATTTTTCTCATCTCTGTTAATACATGTGACGCTGAAATGTAAGAACCAGTCAGATGAAAAAACACAAATATGCTTTGCTTACAAAGAGGGATATAATTAAACATTATGATTTGCAATGCCACTTATAAGTCAGATTTGCTGGGAAACGGAGAAGTCTTGATCTCGTGCAATGCCCAGTATTTTGGGGAAAAGTATCTCTGATAGAGATCTGTTCATGATCTTTAGAAGCTCTTGTGAATCTTTGGGTAGAAGGGCTTCAGGAGTAGTGATGAATGAATGATACAGAGTCTGGGAAAGTTGTTTAGGGCCAAAGATGGAATAGGTGTCATTTCAACAGTAAGATGCCCCTGGATCAGATTAAAAGGGGCACTTTACTACTTAGCTTCCCAGTACTGACAAAGCTGTCAGCATGTAACAGACCTCAGAGTGTTAAGATGAGTAGGAACTGGAGTTTGGCAACTTCAGCCTTGAAGATGGATTTAATTATGTAGGCAGGGAGAAAAACTCTAGCCTAGTAGATACCAGTCTTTTAAATAAGATGGTGGGATTTTCTGCTATACATATTGTAATTCAAAAAGATGCATGGCAAAGCTGATGCAGAATTCCTTGGTGAAGATTATATACGGAGTGTTAAACAGAAACATTCCTTCTGGCTTTTAAAATCCATGAATCTGATTTTTAAATACCTTCCCTGGCAGCATGTTTCAAATCATAGGCTTGGCAGGCCTCTTTGTGTTCATCAATGCCCTTAAGCCACTAGAAAGAAATAAACTATATCTCCTCCTGATCTCCAAAACATCTCTGCAGCTATCAGTGGAGTTGTGATTGCTTTATACCTGTCCCTAAGCAGAACACTGATGCCCACAGTTGTACTTTTATGCTTAATAAATATTCTACTTAACCTGACAAGTGTAAAAATTTTGGATGGCTTTAAAGCAAGCAGTTTTCTGTGGATTGCTTATAGGCTCAGGAATGATACGTGATATCCCAGATATTCCAGATATGGGATGGGGAATGCTCTTTTTTCCCCATACCCACTAAATATTGATAGTAATTCTTCATGGGTTCTCTGCAAATAATAAATATTCTGAGCAGTCATCTTCTTTGCTTGATATTACCTTTAAGTACATTTTTACTTTGAGCTTACTTAAAAATAAAGGCTTATGGTATAGGCAAATGCATTATACATATAACCTTAACTTATAGCGTTGCAAATGCATTGCTGTAGTGATGTGCTGTGTCCCCAGAGGTTATGGCATCCATCATTTATGCTTTTGATGGCCCTGACCTTGATGAGGAGGATAAGTTTATTGCAGGCTATGGAGTGTAATAGTCCTCTAAAAGTACAATAATGTGTTCTAAACCGTCATAAAGTTTACACATAGTGAATGAATCAGAATCTGCAATAGGCTGTAGTGATTTTTTTTTTTCTTTTTTTGAAAGCTATTTTACCATTTAAGCCAGTTTTAATTCATTGGAGAATATAGCTTTCCGAATAAGCATGTTCTGCAGGAATAGCCTTGCTTCCTTCCTTGCATTTCCTCTTTAAATTCCCCTCTAGGGTGTACTAAAAAGCTTTACTTATGGAAAATATAATAATAATAAAATTGTGTATGCGCTTGCAGAGTATTCGGAAGGTGAATCGCTGTTTTATATCATCAGCCCAAGAGACGTGGTTGTAGCAAAAGAACGGGACCAAGATGACCACATTGACTGGCTTCTTGAGAAGAAGAAATATGAAGTAATTTTTACAACATTCTTTCCTTCAGACTCTTCCGATTTTGGAGTTGTGGTGGTACAGTGAACTTCGCTAGATCATTTGAACTGAATAGTTTCTGTTCCTCAAGTCGTTATCTGAATGGCTGTGAGGGCAGGTGTTGGCCATGCATCTCTGTGTCATGTCTCTGCAGGTTTAGACTTCTTAGTGGAGCAACTCATCTGAATGGCACTCAAATGAGATAGATGAACTAAACACTGCGAATGCTGCCATCAGCATCAGATACAAGATGTGTTTGCTGTCACTAAAAATTGTGAAAGCTGTTTCTTGGCTCTAAATCTGCTGATCTGTGTGGCCACTTTCCTAGATCTTTCCTAGACTGTTTTGTAAATATTGGTGGTTTTAAGCACGTGTATCTCAACATCTAAATCAATATTAAATCCTTAAAGACTATCTCACTGTTCTGGATTCTGATTTCCTGCACTTAGTGATTTAGAACACACGTTACCATACATGAAGTGGCTTACAAATGCTTGTTTATATGCTGCTTGTTGGATGCCCATTATAAGAAAAAGAAGTGCCATTCAGCACTTACATCTTTTGTTAATGCAATCATGGTACTTGTCATGCAGGTTTGTTTGACTCTTTGCAGATGCTTTTGTGTCTGAAGAACAAACTTGTGTGATGAGTGCAGTTTTGCAATTATGTAAATCACAGCATCTGGTCCCTGAAGACTCCAGCAATTTGCAAATGACAGCTGTGCATGTGCCTTTGTGAAAGCTATTCAAGGTAGTAGGTAGCATGAGTGTTAGAATGTATGTTAAAGGTTTCATTTTGTTTGTACAAGTGGCAGCTTTGTTTCTGTGCATTTGAAGTAGAAGAAGGAAGCAAAAATGACACTTAAATATAAGTCATACTGACTGGAGAAGGCTTTTGGGGTAGGGAGCTGTATACCCCTCCCCCACTGCCATACTGATGATTTTTTTCATATTTTGGTAGGGAAGAGTTCTCATTTGAAAATGATCCAATGGGATTGCATTGTCTTTCTTCTAGTAATCTTGAGATCTGATCCTAATACAGTAATGTGGAGTGAACCCAGATGGAAACAAAAGTAGTTTTCTCTATGGATGACTGCTTTTGTTTGGGTATGAATTCAAAGCTGCTCATTCAACCATGGCATTAAAAATTCTACTGCTTCAAACACCCTGCTCTGGGAAAAAAAAAAAAAAAAAAAAAAGATTTATGCAGTTCTAGACCTTTCTGTATCGAAAGTTTGTGTATATGGCTAGTATCTCTGTTCTCTACTTTCTGAATGCAGGAGGCTTTGATGGCAGCTGAGATCAGTCAGAAAACCATAAAAAAGCACAAGATTTTGGTAAGTCTGAAAACTATTCAAAACAAAGTATCTGATTTCCTTTAGAGCACTGTGAGATTCTACAAATGCATTCCCTGTTCTGTGTCACACCAGACAATAGCTGCTAGGCATACTCTGACTAGCATTCGATTTCCTGGTTTCAGCTGCAGAACAGGAATGTTAGTTCATGAAACATGACAGGATGCGGATTTTATAAAGGTGCTATTGACATTAAAAGGAATTTCACTTCTCTGACTGCTGATAGGGATCTTGTTTGCTTTTACTTCTGCATTAAATTTACTGTGGTTCAAGAAGCACAATTATTGCAATATTAGAGATAGAGCATGGGGTGACACATTTCTCTAACTTTTACCCTGTATGTGTGACAGGGTTTTGGCAGGAGTTTCCAAGGTGCAATTGGTCGACCTTTTAAATGCTGCTGAAGTTCTGTTGCAGTTTCACATCTAGCTCTCGTGTTCCTTTGCAATTCTCATTATTTTACATAGTCAAACTCCTTTTCTATTGTATAGTTATTTCCCACCTATATAGTTATTTCCCACTTTTATAGTTCCTTCCAAGAGCAATGAAGATTATTGGTGTTAAAGACAAAACGTGGGAGGTAGATAATGTAACATTTCTATAATTTGAACACAGAGTATCCATACATCTTAAAAATTCTTTTCTTATGCTGTCCAGAAGTTGAGCCAAGACCTAATGGACCTGATGGATTACCTATCGAGAGTTTGCATGATTTAGCTGCTTTGTGACCCTTGCAAAAGATGTAGAGATTTCTTAAGAGTCAACTTGACATTATATTAGGAAAAAATAAAGTATGCTTTTCTCTTGATGTGCAAGAATTTCCTCTCCTGGAATGAAATTCATTGTGGGCGTATACAAGCATAGTTGTTGAGGGTTGTTGTGAAACCTGCAGAAGCTGTTAACGGAAAAAAAATAAAAGTTGATATCAAGTCTTAAGTGAAGGCTTAAGGGTACAGGGATTTCAAACTAGTCATGCTCTCACTGCCTGTCGGTGATCAGAGCAATGGCATCCCACGTGTACCGCCTGACCAGTGTTGTGGTTGTCTTGGGTTGTGTTTAGGCTGCAATTATAATCACCACCCCTCTGCACCTTCTTATTTTATAACTCTCTTTGCAGTTTGAAACAATGAGTTTTGTGATAGGACTCTTAAGTTACGCAGTGGGTACAGTAGCCTGCATTGACCTTAATGCCAGCATTTGAGGTTACAGCAGAAGGCAAGCAGTTGGACAGGATTCTAGTATTACGTGCCTACCAAATTATTTTGCAGCTGAAAAGTCTGATAAACTCTTGAGAAGTTGAATTTAATGTGCAATTATATTTCATACTCCTGAAAAATTATTGGTAATTCCTTTACTTTATGAAGCATCCCTGAGGCTTATATTCTCAACTAAGATTTTTGTCTGTTGCTAACTTCATATTGGTAGAGAAGATTTTTGGTTGATGTTCTTATTTTTGAGATAGCCAATGCAAGCACTGAATGATCAGCTGTGTGTTCTGAACAATCTTTAGCATATAGAGGTGGTAGTCTTCCTAGTGTCAACAAGATTATGAAAATGATGTAAAAGAGCATTGTGATTGGAGTTCTTGGGGTATCTAGGCTAATATTTTGTATTCTGTTCTGTGGGTCCTACTTCTAAAGTAGAACTGAGAGTTTCCATGTAGGGACTGGTGCTTGACATAGTGACAGTGACTGTAGCTGAAACGGGACTTACTGTAGCAGTAAAGTACTTGACTTCCAAACTTTTATAACTAATTACTTATTTTTATTCCCTTTAGGACATAGGCTTAGCCTATATAAATCACCTAGTGGAGAAAGGAGAGCATGACTTGGCTGCTCGGTAACGTATTAAAGACTTTCTTTGCTGGCTGAAGTGTGTCTGTGAGAAACAGTGAGAGCAATTACTGATTCTGAAGTATTTTGTGCTGTTGTTTTCTGTGTGTTCTGGAGTTTCTAAAGTTCGAAAACATACAGACATATTACTGTGTCCTTTATTTTCTTGCCTGTAGGGACCTGAAAGTTATTGGAATCTTTCTTAAGTTTAATTGAAATTGAGACATATTTTTTAGAAAGTAACCTGTGATTTTTTCAAAATTACACTAAATTTTCAACATTGAGGTTTCCTTTAGATGTTGACAATCTTATTAGTGTGTCAGTTGCATGTGAGACCATCAGAAGATAGTTTGTGGTTCTGTGGGTGTAACCAAAAAGACAGATTTGATTACCTAAAAGATAAGAAGTTGCCTAAGATTTGTATTTCAATATGAGTGTATGTGTATGTATATCTTTAAGTGCTTAATTTTACTTTGTGAGTGAAATCTCTAGTACAACCCTAGTCAGTAAGGATGAATGCATAGTAAGATGTCAAATTCTTTTGAATGCAATGACATTGCTTGAAGCAATTGCTCACCAAAATTAGTGAAATTTGAAAGTCTGGTAGGGAAAATAAATCCTTGCAATAATGCTGTCACGTTTGTGTTATTCTGTGTATGAACTTCTGTTCTCTCCCCTTTCGTTTTTCTCCCAGAAAGTGCCAGAAAATTCTTGGCAAAAACACAGAACTCTGGGAATTTGAAGTTTACAAGTTTAAAGAAATAGGCCAACTTAAGGTAAGTTTATTTGTATCTCTCAGCTGAGGTAATTGGCATGCTCTATTTCCTTCATGTTTTGAGCAAGTATCTAAAGAATTGACATTTAATGACTAATGTGGTAGCACAAGACACTGCCTTTGAAATTCTTGCACCAGATCCTGAGTTGTACAGTTGTCACTCAGGTTGATAGGTGTATGTTAACAAGCCTCCGAACAGGGTTGGAGGCAAAGCATACCCCAGGTACTCACCTACCTATTTTTAACTTGTTGACAGCCCACAAGTAGAAGACCCACCCCTAGGGGCTTTACTTTCACAGATGCTTACAGTTAAATACATCATTCCCATTTCATTTTCACTTCCTTCGAGTATGTCTTCAGAAAGCCTACCTCAGCTTTTACACAGAAAAGCCTCTGTGAGTGGCAGCCTTTCCTGAGCATCCAAAGTTCCTTACAGCAGAGCCAAGGCTTTCATTGTCAAAAAATAGTTAAATAGCCGAGTAATTTAGGGAAAAATTACAGAATCATAGAATGGCTTGGGTTGGACAGGACCTCAGAGATCGTCTAGTTCCAACCCCCTGCTTGTGGGCAGGGTTGCCAACCACTAAATCAGGCACTCAGTCAGGTCACCCAGGGCCCAATTCAGGCTTACCAAGGGCCTGAAACACCTCCAGGGATGGGACATCCACAGCTCCTGTGAGCAGCCTGTTCCAGCACCTCACCACCCTTCCACTGAACAGTTTCCCCCTGACATCTAACGTAATATCCCCTCTTTTCATTTAAACTCATTCCTCCTTGTCCTATCACTATCTACCTTTGTAAAAAGTTCATTTCCCTCCTCTTTATAAGCTCCCTTTAAGTACTGGAAGTTAGCAATGAGGTCTCCATGGCACCTTCTCTAGGCTTTTCATTCCCTCTTTTGCTCTCTTTTTTCCTCTTTTCCTCTTTTTTTTCTCTTTCCCTCTCTTTTATTCCTCTTTCCCTCTCTCTTTTTTTTTCTTTTTCTTTGCAAAATGTTTCCCATTTAAAATGTATTCTTCACATATTAGTGTTTTGGCTTAGTTTTTAACCAAAATAGGTGAAGGAAATAGGTTACCAGTTTCATTCTGGAAGAATGTATGTGTTAAAGGAAAATAAAACAGCCATTTGAAACATTTCTTTGGAGATATGTATCCTGCTGCAGAATGAAAAACTTGATTCCTTATACAGCTGTTAGCTGATTTTTCTCAATCTTTGATCCTGCTTTTTTACAGCTAATGAAGTGGTAACACTGCTGCTATTATAGGTTTTGTTTGTCTAGAAAGCTAAGTTTCAGCAGGATGTAATTAAGAAACTATATAGTCTGTATGATTCTGTCAGACTATCTTTTCTACAGTCAAAATGGGCTCTTTACTCTTTTCTAGATGATGTGTATGTAAACTATCCCCTCCACGTAGCAGAGGGTGATGAGGCAGGGCAAGGGGACACCCGTAGTCTGTGCAGTTCTCTCAATGGCTCCTGGGGCTGGAAATGAGGGCAGTGTGTCTTGCTCTAGGGTACATTCCTATATGGGGGAGAAAAGAGGGGGCATGGGAATCTGCATACAAACTCTAAAATTAAAAAAAAAAAAGAAAAAGAAAAAGAAAAAGACAGTTTTTATTTTTCTTTTTAAAAAAGAAAATTTGTTTATTTTGTTTTTTTTTTTTACTTTTTTATTATTTTGCATTTCTGTTTTAAATTGATTCTTGATTAACCGTTGATTCTTGAACAAAAAGTCCAAGAGAAGCATCTGGGCTGCATCTTCCTGCTGAAATTCAGGACTTACTCCTGTCCCAAACAAACTCTGCTTCTTCACACCAGCAACTGCCTCTGTCACTTCTGGCTCTTCCTCCCACCCTGGGGAGGGATGAGGGAGTGGGACAGGAAGGATGGGCTCATGGAAGCCTCAGCTGTGAAAAGATGAGTTACCAGGAAATGGAGGCTCCACGTGAGCCCATGGGATGGCCCTGAGTTGGGGCCCTCCTGGGTAATGGTAAACTTACAGGATCCTTGTGCCTCTGTGTTGTTCAATGTCCCCAGGAGTCGAGGTCCCTCTGCTGGACTCGTTCTGCTGCCTCCTCACAGCAGCTCAGAGGATGGCAGTCCCTGCCCTGCTCTCTTCCTCAGGATTCAGTGAAGAAGAGATGAGAGGACTTGGGAAGGGACAAGGGAGGGGGATGGGAAGGACGGACTCATAGGAGCCTTGGCTGCGAAAAGAAGAACGACCAGGAAATGGAGGCTCTGTGTGAGCCCACAGGGTGCCCCTGAGCTGGGGCTCTCCTGGATGAGGGCAAACTTACGGGGTGGGAGCATCAGCGCCGGCGTCGAGGCGGCCGTTTGGATGGAGGTGGACGGATCCTGGTGCCCCGGCGATGCCTGGGGCGCGATCTCTTTCTGATCGGCCTGGCAGTGGTGCCGTGCTGGCTGATCTGCAGCAGCGGAGGTGGATCCACCTCCATCATGTCATCCTCCGGAGGCAGATCCACCTCCATTGGCTCTGTGTCACTGCCAGGCGGGTCCACCTCCATGGGCTCGATGTCGTTGCCCATCGGCCGCCTCTTCTTAAAGGGCGGTTGCTCCATCTCAGGTAGGAGAAACTTTCTGACGTGCAGGCGTCACTCGCTCTCTCCTCTCAGGGGTTCTGAGTGTCCCATGGAAACCAAAACATGGCAGTTGGGAGATGGTTGCAAGAATGTACCATGGAGTGGGGGCT